AAGTAGTCGGAGTCGTATTAAATTCCCTAATACAGACACTTTTAAAACCTAGAATTCACGTCTCCCAGCCAATCTTTTGATCTTTTGATCATTGATCATAATATTTTAAGGTGATGTATCCACTTCTTTTCTTTACGTAGCATTAGATTGTATAGTAGAGTTGATACTGTATAGTGCATGTTAGTAGTTAGGTACAAGTCATAACGGATATAAATTATACTGACAAACTTTTAAAGGAGGTCTTTCATCAAACCGTTGAGGACAGCATTGCATTGTAAGTAGCTCTCATTGGATAAAATAGCTAATAAGTGAGACATGTCTCACTAAATTACGTAAATGCTTTGTGTTGCTTTCACATCACGATTAATGCAGCGCACTGCAGTAAAGCGGCAGCCGTGGACCAAAGACGCGGCTACACGGCGCCAGACCACATTGGTGCAGCAGCGAAAGGCTCGGCGGGATCTTACAGCACACGCGCGTCGATTGGCTCAGCATGAAGATTCCCTGGCTAATCATGACAGAGACGAAGGCACGGAACCAATGGACGACATCGCGTCAGTATCAAAGCGCCGCACCCGCGAGGATCGCGTCAAGCAGCGACGCGAGTACTATTCGAAACAATTGATGACGCCTGAATGGCTTCTTGATGTGCCCAAGGATCTCAACGGCATGGGAAGCGCTTTAGGCGAGGGCTGGTATGTTCTGCCGCGTCCTGAAGGCAAGCGTTGCCTCGTAGTGGCCAATGGGTACGATGCGGTTGGTTAAATCTGTGTTGTAAGTGCTTGTTACGATGCTCGTTTTATGGCTGTGTATAGAGGCAACACAATTGCGCGAATCCCATCGGGAAATATACTGAATAAGTTTCCGTCGGCACTACCCTGCGGCTCATATAAAACTAACAAGTCAAGTGATGGCTATTGTATCCTGGACTGTATTTATCAAGAGCAAAACGAAACGTTTTACGTGCTGGACATCATGTGCTGGAAAGGATATTTGCTTTACAATTGTACTTCAGAATTTCGACTCTACTGGATGCGAGACAAATTATCGGAAGGATTGACGGCAACAGTCTCTTCGGCTAATCCGTTTCGATTTTTGGTAAACTAGATTGTTAAGACTGCATCACTATTACGGAGTTGACGCCGTACTCATCTTATAATTGGTAGCCAATTCCGTGTTACGAATGCGACCAGGCAGGTATCATGGCGGCCTATTCTACGATGTATCCATTTCATAAGTGTGTATCTTGATGGGTCGATTTCCGGTTCAGCTTTTGCTAATCTTTGCGTGTTGCTTTGCACGTAGGGATGGACTACTCTTCTACATGAAGGCAGGCCACTATGAAATGGGCCTCTCACCGCTTGCACTGGTATGGAAAGACTCGATGACAAGCCGATTTTTCTCTTCGACAAAGCCATCCATTGTGCTTCGTCTAGAGCAAAACAACGAATTTCTGACGCTGGAAGGCATCGCACTTTTTGCCGCTGATCAACAATATATCCATCAGTTCGAGGTTCGTTAATAGCTTATATTCTGCTCGAAAGCAACTGCAATCACTTAATAGATATGCATGTATTTTAAGCTGAGCGAGGGAGATCTTGCGAGCTTTTCATACGATCAATATGAAGATGATGACAAGCAACCTCCACACCTTACAGGCATGACATTTGTGAAACGGTGCTCTCCTTTGCGAGCCCTTCCAGACAGCTGGACTAAGATTCTGTTCCAGTTGAAGACGCGATCGGGTGGGGTAACGATCGAGCAAATATTGGAGGTGCAGGGTTGTCATCTTCGTATATTTCTGCTGAGTCTTGTTTACACTAACGCTGTTTGCCGTATAAATAGGTATCGCAATTGCAAACCACCGAGATTGAGATGAAAGCATAGACAATATTTATTCTTTTGATGGCTCGAAATTAAAAGTGTAATGACTCGATCTTCGTTCACCGCGGCCTCGAACAAGCATGTTTCCTCGAAAAAAGGGCAACGACTGGGTTTGCTCGTTTTGTTGATGCTGAATATTTTTGGCTTGCTCCTTTCTTGAGGAATCTGATGCACCTTGCGACTTGAAATCTTCTTGACGTTTCGCCTGCCTAGTCATTGAATTTTTAATTGCTGTGATGCTCGGTAAGCGAATGCGTTCATTTGAGCTGTCAATCTGAGTGAGTAATCGATCGTTCCTGGTCATGGTGGTCGTTTTCTGATGCTCATTTGACTCGACTAGATTACGTTGCTGCTGTTGCGTCGCGATGATGGCATCAGCCGTCGGAAATCGAGAACGCTTTGAAGTGTTTGTGGATCGAAATGGCATTCCAATGAGAAGCTGAAATCTTCTTGAGTCTCGTGCTAGGTACGGCACTTGATTCAACTCATCAAAAACTAGTGCCTCCTCAAATGGTATTGTATAGGCTCGCGCTGGCTTTAGACATGTTCGTCCTGATTTTGCTTTCAGTTTCCAATGCATGCGAGGAAGGAACGTTTCTGATGGGATTTCCGAGCTTTGGTAGAATGGACAGAATGGTGATTTAAGCTCAGACAAGAAAGTAGTACGCTCAATTTTCTGGCTTTCGAGCTTTTGCAGCTCCTTAAAGACTTGTTTGGATCGATGATCCTCTGCAACCATAAGATCTTGCTCGTGAAGTAGCCGGAGAATTAGCGAAGCAGCATCTTCGCATAATTCGCTATTTTTTTGCGGAAAACAGCACTGATCCTCAAGTTGCATCCCATTTTGATTCCGAAGAAGCTGATTGAGGTACCAGTTCGAATAGTTGTCTTCTTCCTTCATATGGCTTCTCTCACTATCCTCACGCGCAATTTGAAGTAGCTCCTTACGTTTAGCTTCCAACTCTGCCTGATGCAGCAATACTTTACTCAGCTCATCTTGTTTTATCCGTTGAGACAGAGCAAATTTTTCGTCTTCTTCGTTTTCAAGTCTCGCTTTCTTCGCTTGTCGTTCGAGCTGTGCAAACCTTTCTGTCTCTCGCTCTTCCAGCAGGCGCTGGTGCTCAAATTCTTGCTCTTGCAGCTGCTTCTCTTCGTACTCTTCGTCTCCATTATCAACACCACTACCAACCTGCCAGCTTGATGAAGCCTCAGTGGGACTCGGATGAGGCAGATCACTAAAAAAGTACGATCGGGTAAAGTCAGCTCGCTTTGGAAGGAGTCGTGTCTGGATGTCCTCTTCACTCTGAGCAATGCCATTAATGTACACACGCGACATACTTTCTTCGTGTGCCATCGCCATCAGCTCCAGCAAGATAACTGCTGCCTCACATCTCATCTCTCTCGATATCTCATCTCGCAGATATTCGGGAGAACTAGTGTTCAGCTCCACGAGCTCGACCTCAATTGCCATATTGGATTCCTCGCGATCAACAGTAAAAGTATCAATGTCGATTTTGTCCACGCTGGCTTGTTCATTAAATGCAAAAGTGGTCATCAATGGAAGAGGTAATGTTTCAATAAGCAGTGGCGCTGGAAATTTACCATATTGAGCAACACTAGCAATTCGACTTTGACGTCGGAAGAAGAACATTTTCTTTTTTAGAAATGTGTGCCGCGCTGTGTTAGAATTATGATACACTTGAATAAAGTTCTGCACGATTTCATCGCTATCATGGGCTAATTTGACGTTCTCGGCAAGCAGCTCCCGTGACAACATCGTTTGGATTGCTTTGTTTGTCGATGCTTCAAGAGCCTCGCGTATCAAAAAGTCGCGGCGGTGGATGTTATCAGCGATTATCCACCACGGCATGAACTTTTCAGCTAACGTTAAGGTGTCCAAATCGTCTATACATGAAACATCTGGGAGCTCGATATCATTCCTCATAGCAGCAAATTGAACCACAGGATCCATTAATGCTAATGCAATCTCTTTAAGTCGAATTTCTGGACTTGTATCATCCCACGCTGGCAGGCTAACCGTCTCGATCAGTGAGCGCCTGTCATAATGCTCAAATACGAAAAATTGCTGGGAGGGCTCGCGATTTTTTTTGCGGAGCCCCGCTCTCACTTCTTCCTGAACATCTCGCTCAGATTTGCTAATAATTTTCAGTCGCAGTTTCAAATACTCTGTTCGCGCTTCAACACGCCTACGCTGTACTAACCCGGAGGAAATGGCCTGGCTGTGAGTGTTGAGACCACACGAATACCAGGAAACAAATTCCAGCCATGCGCTAGTTGACTGTCCAACATGCTGGGCCTCGGGAGGTGAAAGGCCAGCATGTGCTAGCTCGAGATGAATGAATGGATCAATGGCTGCAAATTTTAACTCTTCTATAAGAAAGTGCTCTCGAACGCGCTGGTGATTTGGTGTGGCTGTGAACCACCTTGTGAATGATAGTACTCCTACCTGCACCGATATGTCTAGACTTTCAAAAGCCTCCAAAGCTGGCACAGCGACGTCATCTCTTTTTGCGATTTCTCGAATGCATTTCGATTTACTCGCTGCCATCAGCTCTATTTGTCGGTCATGATTCGACAAGAGGTCCAACGACATAAATGGAAACGTTAACAAAGAATTCGAAGCTTCAGAGTTCTCACCAGTTCTTTCAGCGACTGAAGCTCGCTTGCTTCCACGACAAAGTTCAGGTTGAAAGTCTAACAAAAATCTTTCCTCATCTTCAACGAGTGAAACCACAGAGACCTTGTCTTGCACACCAAAGTGTAGGATTTTTGTACTACTGGGCATTGCAATCCTTGCCAAGTCGTCGTCCATGCCTCCCGTATTCGAAGTTTCTCCATCTACTCGATCAGTCGATATGACAGCACATCGAGTTTGCGAGGGAAGGGAATGCAAGTAATTGACAAAAGTTCGGTACACTCGAGGTTTTGCTCGCTGAAAACTGCTTGGAACAGAGTTCTTCACTGGGCGATATGTGGCTTTTGTGTCACGTACATGAACTCGCTTATATATGTTTTTGTCGTCATGATTTTTGCTTCGAGGTGTTTGAGAAGAGTCATGCGAGGAATCATACCGTGTGTGGTATGGATCACCTTCCGTCGGCGAATGATCCATTCTTGGCATAGTAGACAAGCTTTGAATACATTGCAAGGTATCACAACCAATCTGTGCGGTTTGATTTTTTACCTGTTCATAATCAATCAATGTCGAGGCTCGCTCAAATAATCCAGCAAAAGCTTTAGCAGAAGATGTTCCTGGGCATGGATGTTGGGGAGTAGTAACCTCCGACTCAACTGCAGGCAATGTGACGTCCAAATGAACAATTTGACTCTCATCAGATGCGTCTTCAGTAAACGAAGACGCTCGGAAATGCCCTTCAGACCTTATGCCGCCAGTTTCATGCCTTTCCACCTCACGCTGATTCAAAAGTTGTGCTCGCTGAAGACGCTGTTTAACAGCTTCGTTGTCACCTAAACCTAAGTGATCGACTCGGTCGACGCAACGATCAATGTATGCAAAGAGGTTCAGACCTCTATCAACCAGCGACCTTAGCTTAGCAATGATTCTCTCCCATTAATCACAATAACAGACTCACCTATCAGTCTGAGATATAAAAATGTCTTTTATGAAGTCATGCACCTTTATTCGCCGATGCGGAAAAAAGAATTCGAGCGAAAAACTCCAGATGAAAATGGTGGCATCGTTGTCATACGAAAAAACCCATGAAAAGCTTTTAGTGACCAGCCTTTCGTTGATAATAATTCTTTCAGTTTGCGAATCACAAAGGATTTTGAGTACGGATGTCGAATGCAAATCGATGGCATGAAGGACTCGTTTTACGACAGAAACACGAAATGGAGGTCGTTGCTGGAAATGAGAAGCTTCAATTTGCTTTTCGGACGGTAACCTCCAGCATTCAATTGTACCGCCGTCGAATCCACAAAACAAAAACTCGGGGAGCTTAATCGTTGCGGTCGAAACATTTTGTGCCTCGGTCCGAAAGCAGACAAGTAAGTCCCACTTGAAATCTGTATCGGCAATACGGTTTGACGGCGCATCCACTTTTTTTATCTGCCAACGTTGCACATCCCCTCTCCGACTGACAGAAAGAATCGAGAATTCAACATTCTTATGGCTTTTAAGTATAGTGTCGGTGAGATTGATCAGAACAGCGACTCTGTCCGTGCATCTCGAGATTAGTCAAAAAGCCTTAATTTATCAGAGAAGCTATCAAAACTTCACCTATCATTGGCGTATACTTGTTTCCTGGAGATCCAGTAATTAGATTCTTGAGTGTCGTTTGATATAGCGAAAATTTGGACTGCCCCACTTGAATCACCTATGCCAACACAACTGCAACCACTGAAAGGCAGGCTAACGAGAGTTGTTGCGATGGTATCCAAGGACTGGAAAGGTGGTGCTATGGTTGTTATGCGATTATCAAATAGATTATACTTTATCGCCAACCCGTGAGAATAAAGCGCAATCACAGAATCAGACGCTATGACATAGTCAGCAAGATACATGTTTCGTTCCTTCATTTGATTAGAGACGTCAAGTGTTGGTATAGACGCAAAGTGAAAATTCGAGATTCCCTCTTGAAAAAAACCCACTTGTGTTGTTGAAAATCTGTGATCGTAAGCCATCAACGCTCTATTGTTACTGCTCTTCTCATAATATGTTGAAACTTCACAACCTAATTTATTGCAAGGTACGCGGCCCCGGATATTTGAGGATACGAGCTCCAAGATGCAAAAACCAGTTGAGCGAACAGCGAATGCAAAATTTCGCCCGTCAGATGCTACCATTGTATGAAGAGCAATATATCGTTTTAACGAAGAATCGACCGGCAGTGAGATGGCAGATTTTTCAGATTGAACATCTGCATCAGAATATCTATTGTCTGATTGAGTACTGGCAACATCCACGACAATGAAAGCTGCACAGACGTCGAGTACCAATAAGCTGCTGCAATACTCGCTGCTCTCAGTAAATACTGCGAGCTCTTGATTGTGCTCGTATTCAGCAACTTTTTGAAACTGCACCACCCCCCCTTTTACAACAAATACGTACTTACACACTTTCCTGTACCGGCAAGAGACTCATTAGCGGCGCATAAGTACACCAAGAATAAAGTTGCGCTACCTCAGATTAAATTTGAAGGCGATATAAATACTATTATCGCTGTTTCCGCACTCCATCCTTGAAACTGTGCTTTTGGTCTCGCTTATACGACAAGGCAAACGATGACAAGACGCCGCGTCAAGTAGAAAAAGTTTTGTTTTGGTCGCCGCAAAGATGTGCCGTCCATCAAAACTCATGCTTAGGTGATAATAAGTGGGTTTCTTTTCCTACCAGCATATGTATCATAGTCAATGTACACAGGACGAGCGAGTGATCAAAATGCACGCACCATATTTACAGCTGTATGTACTCGCAAGACCAATTTAAACTTTTTGCCATTCCCGGCAGTTGTGATTGCGCGAGGAGCCCAAACTTTGATTCCACCGTCTGTGTCAGCTGTGATAAGCTCCCGTCGTTGCGTATTCGCCGATGCCGTATTGAATTGTCCACCAATGTTTGCAAACATATGAGACATCAACGACGTCTTGAGGTCGGAACTGCATTTTGTTTATCACATGAATGAGCTTCCTGCAAAAAAACATATCGAAATTCATCGCAAACTACCTCATAATTCGATACTCAATATCCTCATTTGAAGTAGCCATAACGACAAAGTAGGCGTCGAGCTTTAAAATGCAAATATGATGAATCGATTTGGCCAATAGGCAATGATAATCATCACACTCACCCAGGGTAGATAAAGAGCGAAAAGGTATTGTGCGTACTCCTCCGCCTCAAGTGTTGCTTGTAAGTCCCCTCCCAAGGTTAGCAGCTTACTGTATACAGAAAGTGATTTAGGCGTTCCCACTAGTAGCTCATGCCGGTCTTTATTGTATACGGAAAACACTGCATTGTTCAGGGAGATCTGATTATCCCGAAGTGTCAGCGTCACGCCCATCGACTGTAACCTTATTGTGCAGGAAACGTCGCATGTCAAAGTACATTCATGTGGGACACACGACAAACCATTGACAATCAATAGTATGGGTCGAACAGGAGCCAAGGTCAAGAAGGGTGGCCTGGGTAATGCCCTCATCCGAACACAGTCAAAGACATCGTCTATCAGTACAAGAGATGTGGCGTCCAGTGCTGGTAAGCACGTATCTGAACGCGACGGTGGTGATGCAACGGTTGCCCTTGCTTCGTACCTTGAAGGTTCTTCCTTGGTGTGTTGCGATGGTTATGATCTGCCTGTTGAGGTCCACGCTCACCACACTTTTAACTCTTACTATAGGACGACTTCCTCGCTAGTGCTGTGCTTGCCAATCGTGAATTCACAGCCGTGAAAGAAAGCATCTTACTTATCGACGGGGCGGATGCGGGTCCGCAAGTAGTTGAGTACGTTAATTAATTAATTTGACTTGATAGGCTTGCAGAGTGCTTACAAGATGTATTTTTGTGGATTTTAACGAGCAGAAAAGATTCAAATGTGATACCAGAGATGACATTTGCGGAGATGAAGGTGCCTCGTCGTCCCCAGTGGGACAAGTCGACCACAGCTGAAGAGCTTAATCGTCTGGAAAAGGAGACATTTATGGAATGGCGTCGCAATATCGCCATGTGAGGATCGTGTGTCGTTTGATTCTCTTAGCGTGGTGCTAATTTTAATTATCTGTGATAGGCTGGAAGCATCTTCCGATCATCAAGAGGTAACCCCTTTTGAAAAAAATCTGGAAGTGTGGCGTCAGCTGTGGCACGTTCGCGAGCGAAGTGATGTCATAGTACAGATTGTGGATGCTCGCAACCCACTCTTTTACCGGTGCGAGTCGTTTAAATGGAAAAAAAATGTTCTACTTCAAGCAGTGATTTTATTGCTTTGTTTCGAAAAAGTTCGACAGACTTAGATGCTTACGCAAAGGAAGGTGAGATGCCTCGGCGTACACTGTTGATCGTGAATAAGTCAGACTTTTTAAATGAGCCTCAACGGTTTGTCGATTGGATTATGATTCTTTTTGGTTAATGGAATTGACCTTTCAGTTGATATGCAGAATCGCATGGGGAGACTATTTTACGAAGGAAAATATTGAATTTGTTTTTTTTTCGGCTAAGGAAGCCCAGAATGAGATCGATAAAGAGGCGAGAAAGCTGCGTCAGGAACAAGGAGATGTTAGAAATTGCGACCAGTTCGATAACACTGAGCGTGCGGATGCCCCACACACTACGATAAAAAGAGATGTGGCTGATAGCAAAGGTTCCAAGAAGTACCCAGAGCTTTCTCGCGTTGAACTGCTTGAATACTTTACGAATATCGCCAGGGTAGTGTTACATGAGGTAGGCGTGCGAGTGAAGGATAAAGGTCTTATCAAATTCGGACTGGTGGGCTTTCCTAACGTTGGAAAAAGCTCAGTGATCAATGCGCTGCTGGGTGCGTCCACCTACTTGCACAAGACGCAGCGTGTTGCAGTAGGGGCAACTCCTGGCAAAACCAAGCATTTTCAGGTTTGTCATGTTTTAAAAATTTATGCAGCACATCAACTTTTTGAGCTGACATTTTCATTACATCAACTTCTACAGACAATGATACTGTCAGACCAGATCATGCTGTGTGATTGTCCAGGTCTCGTGTTTCCAAGCTTTGTGAACTCAAAAGCTGAAATGTATTGCTGCGGTGTACTCCCCATCTCGCAATTACGCGACCATATTTGTTCGTTAATTAAGCCTTGTAGATTTCATATGGGTCACTGACTGAAACTTATCTGAATGAAATTTTGCAGCCCCATGCCAGCTCTTATGCCGTCGAATACCAAAGCAAATATTTGAGCGAACGTACGGAATCAAAATAGTTGTTTCACGAACGGCGAAGGATACCGATCCGGTTGGCATTTATGCACTTCTGGAGGTGCGTATAGAATTGTAATTCAATGTTGAACAGACCAACTCAATCCCCTCGTCTGAATCAGGCCTACGCCCGCAATCGTGGTTACACAACAACCGGTAAGGGTGGCCCCGATACGTCCCGTGCAGCCCGCGACATCTTGCGGCACTACGTGAATGGTCGACTTTTGTATTGTCATCCTCCGCCGGACGTCTCAGATCCCGCCATCTTTGACATCCACGAGCTTGCCAAAAATCAGTTTCCTGACTTTCAGCATCAACAAGATCCAGAGATTACTATAGATAACAGAACCAAGAAACTCGTATCATCGTTGGACGTGGAGCAGGACTTTGACACTACTGTTGAAGACAAGCGCGCGCTGAGCAAGCGTCTGAAGAATCATGGCCGTAAAGGACGCAAGGGTCGTGACAAGAATCCATATGAAGACTCAGACTTTCCGAACGGCAGTGTTGGTGTCCACATAAATCTGGGTGGCAAGAAGAAAAATCGCAGACCGTAATCCAGGAATCCACATTGAGATATCTGTCTTATAGAACATCGATTCATTTGGCTAATGTTTGTGTAGTTAATCTACTGTTAAAACTAACAAATGGAAGTAACCGAGAAGCGAAAAAACGCAACTTGCAAAGAGCCATTGCATTTCAACCTACGTTCAGCATAAAGAGAACCGCTTTGTTCTTGCATAGCGCGTCACCTTTCTGCTGGGAAAATTCCGGACGAAACTCCGTACGTCTAGTGTGCCGGAATGGCAAAGAAATGTCAGCGGAGGCAAACTTAATTTCCCTTGTGATCTTCGTCAATGGTATCCGCATTATAAGTGAAGCCAGGAAATTGCGCTTTGTTGCGCTGGGTCTCACTCATCGTCGTAGTGACGACTGAGTCTACGGGTTTCTCCGCTGTGAATTCGACATCAAAATTACTTGTGTCCATGGAGCCCAACCGGTTAGGCGGCTTAAATTCAGGCTGAACCTCCTTGCGAAACACAGCCTCCCAGTCAATACCCTTAAAGAATGGGTGCGACTTAATCTCCTCGGCGTCGGACGGACCGCTACCAAGACGGTCCGACACCTTTCGCGTGAGTAGACCAGTCAGCAGGTCTTTGGCCTCAGCCGACATAAATGACGGAAAGCGTAGCGGCGCATTTAAAATCTTATCATACATTCGCTGCATATTTTGGTCGTAGAAAGGTGGTAGGCCGGTAAGCATCTCGTAGATGAGAGTACCCAGACTCCACCAGTCTACAGCTTTGCCATGCCCCTTATTCTCAAGTATCTCTGGTGCTAGGTACTCAGGAGTACCGCAAAATGTTTTAGTACCGCCCGTGGCGCCAGCCCCCGTGACAGCCTCTTTGGAAAGACCAAAATCTGTTAGGCGAATGTGTCCCTCCAAATCCAGCAAGATGTTTTCGGGCTTTAAGTCACGATAGATAATGTCGTGTTTGTGCAGCTCCTGTAGTGCAAGGATGATCTCAGCGGCAAACAGACGCGCTTTCTGTTGGGAAAAGCGGCGATCCTTTTTCAGCCAAAAGAAAAGTTCGCCTCCGCCGCAGTAATCCATGACCAGATAGAGCTTGTCGGGCGTCTGGAAAGCGTATGTGAGACTAGTCAAGTACGGGTGCTTGATGCTTTGTAAGATACTGCGTTCTGTCTTGGTGTGAAGAAGCTGGTTGCGCTTCACAAGAGCGGCTTTGCGCAGCGTCTTCATCGCATAAATCATCTTCGTGTCCTTCTTGCGCACCATCATAACTTTACCAAAGGAGCCCTTCCCAAGCACCTTCAGCAAGTCAAAGTCCTCCACGTTTACCTTTGTTTGCGGACGTGCGGGGCCGTCCATATCTTCAATGGCCACCTGCTCAACTGGACCCGAGTCGTCTTCCTCGAGATCGGCTGCAAAAATAGTGCATGAATAGAGCAGAATCATTAGCAGACCATTTTCTTCCTTCCAAAATGTAACACAGAAAAAAGTCAGCTACGTACACTCCTCTTCTGTCGGCTGGGCCTGCCCCTGGCCCGGAGCCTGGGGAGGGCCGTCGGATGGGTTTGAAGGTGCGGCGGGCGCGCTCTTGCCGGCGTCACGACCGCCATTGGCGTAGTTGCTGAACTTGAAACCACGCGA